TCTTCCTCTTCCTCTTCCTCTTCCTCTTCCTCCATTGTTACTTTGCTCTGGAATGATTACTTATACTGCATTTCTTTTTTCTCTAAACTGCTTATTTGGTAGGGCTCTGCAAATCTTTCAGATTTTTAAAGTGACTCATACATGGAAAGAAGTAGATTCCAAAGTAGCTGCCCAAACCTATCCAAAGATGCGGCTGCTTCATTATTTAAAAAGAGGTGCTTCATACATGTTTCTGCATATTCTGAAGCACCTCTTTTGGAGGATTTTCACAGCCCTATTATTTTGGTGTTTTCTTACACACCATCAATTATTCAGATAAAGTGGGAGAACATAAGTAGGCAAATGTAGTCCCTGCCTTGTGGTATTTGAGGGGGCAAGATATGATCCAGGCAGTAAGAGGCTAATCAGCCTAATGTCAAGTTTGTTTTTTTTTAGAAAATGTTATTAAGCAATCAGACCACTATCAGCTAGAAAATAATGTGCTATTTACTACAGGCTTACATGGATTTATCAGGATTAAACCATGAATGACAAATAGTAATTTTTATTTTAATAAAGTCTGTGCTCCAGTAGGTCAACATAGCAACATGAGGGGGATATTATATCTTCATTTAAACAAGATGGTGAAATGTATTGTGGCTGCTTCTGCTATTAGGTAAATCCATAGCTGGTTAAAAAGTTGTACTACTCAGTGAATCTTCATTAATGGCATTGTATCAGTTTCAACCAATATGTGAGAGGCAAACCTCAGGACTTTGTCCTAGGCCCTGTGCTCTTCAGTGGTTTTATAAATGATCTGGATAAGAATCTGCTTCCAAACTATTTTTTTCATTCAATAAATGTGATGTCTTTACCATTTCGCTCAGCTCCCACTCACAAAGTGGCATAAAACAGACAAAATGAAAAGCACAGCATGGATGGATAGCAGACAATCAAGTCTCTTTGCATACTAAATCACATTTGTTATTTAAAATAGACCCTGAATTTCAACCAAACTCTGCTTCCTGCTAGCATCTGATCTTAAAAGAGAAATTGGTGACAAACAGTAAAATAATGAGTTTCCAGCGAAATGTGAACCTTTACTTTTTTAATACTGATATGTTGGCAAATACTTTTAGCTAATCAAACATTTGAGTTATAAGGTCTTCTAGTTTGGAATAGGCTTCCAAATTCTTTAAGGGTATCTTTTAACTCACATACATCTCAGAGCTGCCAAATCTGAGCTGCAAAAATCCAAATGACCACTAGTTAGCAAGTTTTCTGAATCTCTCTACTGCCACATGGTGGTCATCCAGATTTTTCAAGTTCAGATCTGGTAGACCTAATATATCCTCAACGAATAAGAAAGAGAGTTGTTTTAATGTGTATTAACTCGCAGTTGTAGTTAACTGTGTATTTAGGATATTAACTGGAATTTCCTGCTGTTATCTGATAGTGTATTTGTTATCCAAGTCTTTCATTTTCTAGTAAGTTTAGTCTCCCCCACCCAACCCCACCTCCAGGTTTTGGCCATTTGCTTTTTTACTAACTTTTTTGTTCCTTATGTCATTTGAATCATCATTGCTCTTATAAGCTAGATAGAAAGATTGGATTTTCAAGTGTTTACGAGGAAGTTTCATTTAATTGTTCCTATTGCTCTTCAGTTTGATTCATACTGAAATTCACTAGTATAGGAAAGTAGTTAAATGTTCGTAACCTAAGACTGGCTTAAATCTACAACTATAATAGTACAATAGTTCCCACCATTACATTTACTACATCATCTTCTGTTTGGCAGGGGCTGCACAGCCACTGGGCCTCGTTTCCTAGCAATCAGTTTCTTATTTCTTGCCCTCCCTCTCTCTCTCACATACACATGCACATGTAAACACATACCTTTTGCAGCAGGAATTTAGTTATGCTATACGGCTTGTACTCAAACACACCCAGCTTTTTAGATATTAAATTATTTAACTTATAAAATGCA